TCATGGTGTGACAAGTGAAAATGAAGTTTAACGTTGAAAAATGTGGAGTGCTGTACTTTAAGAACATCCACATACAATATTCATTCTCCTAGTCTGAAGCTGAATAAGTGTTCAGTTCAAAATATTCTCCAGAGTTTAGCTTCACAGAGTATATCGACTTACAGGCCTCAAAAGTAGAAACACTCCATGGATTTTCATTCCGAAACTTCAGAACTCTGGAATCTAAAGCTCTGCTCTACTGGATCTGCATAGGACTGTTACCTGAACTTTGTCCCTCTGTCTCAATTAAAACAGGCGCTTTATACTGAAAGATTATAAAGGCCGTTTACTAGAAGACCAGCAAGTGAAAATCTCTGCGTTTCTCACTGTGAGAGATGTACCGTGTTCCACTTAGAAGTTTTGTAGGCCGAAAGTGTAGGGGTTTTTCTAAAGATTACTTTTGGGATAGCGAAAGGGCTTACCTATTTCCCGAAAAGTGACTTGATATAAGGCTCATCTACACCCAGCTGGAATTAGGAACAGTTCTATCCCTTTTAAATGCATATCTTACGCAGTGGATCAGAAGCAGTCTATGATTGATTAAAAATCGAAGATATTATACATCACTCCTTTGACCTTTACTGTTAGCTCCAAAAATCTACGTATTCCTCCTTCACCTGTCAAAATTCTTTTGAGAACGAGATGTGCGTTTGACTGTAACTTGTTGATTGACAATATGATTACCATGAGTGCCTTAATCTATGAGAATAATCATTTTAATACTTTCACAATCGATTACCCATTTAGTTATATTAAATGTGTCTTCAGCTAAGGTTTCACAAATGGATGACACTAAATGCCTAGCTAAATCAATCCTATTAGACAGTTCGAAGTAATCAGAATCTGTTCTCATTCATTTATCATAAAACAAAAGTGAAAAGAAAAAAACTTGTCAAAACCTCATCGTTTGCAGACAGATTGTTTGACAGAACAGTAAAGGAAGCTGTGAAACAATAAAATCACAATTTCATACAATAACAACAAAATTGTGCACTGAAATTAATTCAGTTTATTTTATATACTCTAAATCTGCACATAAGCACTAAATTTGAATACAGTTCAGTGGTTTAAGATGTCAGTATCAATTACAAACTATATGGTATAGTTCAACAGTAAAATTAACACAAAGTAGGTCCTTTCACATCTATGTATCAGAATACACATGAGGAGAAAAAAACAAAAAAGTTCATGACCTAATTAAACAAGACGTCGGTGGCACAGTGGTTAGGACTCTCGCCGACCATGCACATGGTCCGGGGTTCGATCCCCTGCCGGCGCACACCCGATATCTATGGTCGGCCTGAATTTGGGCTACCGATATCCATGCTGAAAATCCCACACTTGTACTGAAAATACGGTGTGAAATCAAGCTGTAAATCAAAAATAAAAAAATAAAAAGACATGGAAAAAATGTACAAAATGTTATTATGATCAATATCAAGAATGTATCTATGATAAATTAGAAAACAATTAAAGTATACTCAAAAGTAATATCGATTCTCCTCAAGTTTGCCCAAGCATTTGCTACTAAACACCTGAAACCCAATTTATGTGTTCAGAAGGAAGCAGTTATCAGTCTTTCCTTTCCCTGGTAACTGGATGTATTCGATCTCTCTTTTGTTTGACTACGTAATCTCTGGCCTTAACCTCTCTCCCCTTTGATATAATGTAACTTTGATTGTCTCTTGTGTTTATTACGTAATTCTTTTGCCAATGTATCCAAGCATTTATTCTTGTTTAAACTTGAACTCTGTGGACAAACACTTTATAGGTGTAATTTATGAGCACTTTTTATTAAAATTGGAGTCTCCCGCCAAATGACATAATGTAACGTTTGGAAGTATATTAAAATTCTTCTGTGCCTAAACTTAATAATTTCTTTAGGCTGTACGTAGTTGATGAGAAGCCAATAAAATAAATGATGGCACCATCTTATTCTGCACAAACTGTTGTCCTTGCTTTATTCAAATATAGTTTCAGTTACTAAAACAATAGTGGTAGGACAGTAAAATTGTTGAGACAATTGTACATTAGTTATATGTTTGCTTCTCAGATATTTTGAAATACAAAACTGTCTGAATACAGCTAACTTGATTTTTGTATTGGACTAGTTCATTTAATATTACACAGTGATACAGTATAAATAAGTGGATGACGTTTTGATCATACTCACAGATTCCTAAATTACTTTTTACAGTCTTAATCTATTCTGCTTTTATTGCAATTATCCATATATCTGAGACTCTTGATGCATCAATAAACAAAGATTTGGAGAATAACCTCTTCTTCCACTTGACTCTACACTGCATTTTAGTGATTTTACTCTGTCCATGCTGTTGTGTGATTATATGGGCGGACTATTTTCAAGATTATTTAACTTAGAGGCTTCGACCCTACTATGTCTATCTGAATTCCTGTTCTAACAAACTAACTGATTCTGATCTACTGGTGAGATCTATGCAGTTGATACCACAGCCATTAAACGTTATTTCGTAAATTAAGTTATTTTTCGTAATTGTGACTATCTACAAAGTATGTCCTTAAGTGAATTGATTGGTTTAAGTGCAGCCTAATTTAAAACTTATTTAGAATCCTATGTAGGAATTCTGATATCGTTTAGGACACTGGGGAAGATTATTGAGTCTCTTGTTAACAATTTGGTGAGTCCACTTCCATTATATCTGCTCTCACAGACGTCTAACACTTTTATATCAAATCTTCTACAATCCAAGCAGCTTCCCCAGAGCCACACATCGTGTAAACATTCTATATCCTCACGCTTACATTGAAAGAAGACACATAGGTAGACTGGCTTCCCGAAGGCTTTCACCTACTGGTGATATCCATCGGCGAATAGGTTTATTTTTTGTGTGTTTTGAAGATTCAATAGTAATGGAGTTGTATTTTTTTTACGCTACTAGCCTCACGTCCAATCTCCCCTAATTTCCGGGCTTAGAACCGAATTGTAAACTAGGCGTGATTAAAGACTTTACTACTAAGATATTCAGCCGACAAGTAATCTGCTGGCAAACTAGGTTATCGATAAAAATTGGTCCCTGAATGATAAGCAGTGCAAATGCCTAATCCACATAAAAGAATATTTTCGTTTGACATTTGACATATTGGCTAACTACGTGAATACTTGAATATTACCATGATTAATTACTACGCTAGACTTCCTTGTTTAGGTAGTGATTAGCAGCGGTATATATATATATATATATATATATATATATATATAAGACTAGAAGAAAGTGAAGTACAGCTATACGAAGACCACATAGTAGTGTGGTGGTGTGATACGGACAATGTGTGCCAACAGAATGTCATTCTCCCATATTCCTACAGTTCAATTCAGCATTAGCAACAGAATACGATATATCTATTTGAACATTCTATTTGTTGCTACAGTCAGAATAGCATTCTCACAGTTCAGTACTGCATTGGCAACAGAATACTATGTATGTTTGAACATTCTATTTCATGTCGTTTGATGTAAACTGAGATCGCATGCTCAGTGATTAGTTAACGAATATAAACTGTAGATATATAAACAGCAGTTTGATTAATGAAAAATATACTTTGGCTTCCGTGTCTTGCCTTCTGTTGTTATAGTAGTAGTGTGGTGAGAGCTGTCTGCTAGCCAAAATTGGCAGACAGCAATTTACATCAATGTTTACGTCTGAAATCTTGGTCATGAGAAAAAACAAGAACAAAGCCTAACCTTGAGGAACTCAACGACCAATCACAGCAGAATTAGCATGGGCGGATACGATTAGCAGATATATCACCGGACTGTCTAAGAAACGGCAACAAAGAAATGACAGAATAACCTTCAGGAGGAAAACAACCAATCAGAAGACGTTGCTTCTCTGCTAACAATCACGAATAGTAATGTACATCGGTTGATTTTCTCAATAAACGATCTGTTGCCTGGCCCTTGTCTTCTGTCGTTACAGTAGTAGTGGTAGTAGTAATACATTACGTTAGTGATCATGGGTCTAAAGGATGCATGTTAGCCACTACATGACCACAGAAACCTACAATTCAAGATGATATTAAATGTATGTGAATGTATTTTAGAATTGGCACAAGCTGGCATAAATGGATTCATAATTTGAATTTTTCAACTTAGGTAATGTGTATATAATCAAATATTTATTTATTTATTCAGATACCTTAACAATACGAAATTAAAAGAAAGAGTAGTAATCACCACAACCACCATTAACAAGAAAATAGAAGAGAAGAAAAGTTAAACATATGAGCAGACTAAAAACAACAATCAGTTATAACCAACAAACAACACGACCTAAGAAATGCATACAAAAATTCATATATATATATATATATATATATATATATATATATACTAACGTCTGTATATAAGTATAATAAAATAAGACGAAGAGGAGGGGAAGAGAACACTTTTCTACATACAAGTGAACTTAATTAAAGACAACGCTAATCACAACAAGAAATAGCATTACATAAATCATAATATTACAGTAATTTATCTACATAGGCACACGCACACATACACAAATGCTACACACTAGAATAAAACACATTAAAGCTTTATACAATGTTTAATGCAAGTGGAAAGAATCTGATCACATACGTCACAGGTTGTTTGTTTATTTGTTTTTTCTAATTGAGAACATTGGAGAATATTTTGTCACTAGTATGTTATTTCTAAATGCTGATATACAAACACATGTACATGAAGTGATTTCAGAAAACTAACTATTCAAAGTAAACATAAACAGTAGTAATAATAACAATGTGTAATGTTAATGTAAAAGAAACAGAAAAAATTATTTTCTTTTCTGTAGAAAAAAAGCAAAAAAAAAAGATGACTAGACTGTTCTTTCTCTCGCCCTCCTTCGACACCTCATTTCAATGAGAGCAAGGTTGTAAAGGAGGTGGTAATGCAGAGGTTGATGAAAGCTGAAAGATATTCAGTCGGCTTGAGTACTAACAGATATTGTGGTCTCCGACTTGTAACCTTCAGAAAACAAAAAAAAATGAAATGAAAATAAAACTGGTAGAAATAAGGCTAAGGTGTGTCGGCAGCACAGTGGTGGAATGCTCGCCGACCATGTACATGGTCCGGGGTTCGATTCCCGGCCGATGCACTCCTTTACCTCGCTAAGCCAGTAATAAAGCTGGTAAAGAGGAAAGATTGAGCATGAGGCTAGCAACCCAATCCTGTAAAAATAATCACCACTACTACAGAAACTTCAAGTCTCTAGCTTGGAGCCCTATGTTCCACTGGGAACGTAAAGGAATAAAAAAACTTGAATTCTAACTGTCAAACCCCGATATTACCTTAAACAGTTTAACTAACGAGGCTTGTATAGCAGAACAAAATAGATTGGCCACATTCCACTATGCATTACCAGTTGCGCAGACAAAATAAGCGTGAATTCAGTTGGTTAATTACTTCCTTATAGGATTAGTAAATACTCCATTCTTTAACGATACTGTGCAGCATACTTAAGGTATTACTTTAACACATAAAATAGACAACAGATTCCTTTTGATGAAACTATTTCAATGGGTACACAGTGAATAAAACACGACATCATCTTACACATTCTCATTTGAAGAGATGAAGCGTACACTGTATCTTCTTTATATAGGCAGTTTTAATACTTTGAATGGCGTATAAATTATAAATCTCCTAATAACTCCCATTTAAATTTATTCCTCTTGGTCGAACCACATGGACTTTGACCATTTATTCTTCGACATCTTACCAATCTATGAGTTCCTAGTGGAGAAAGGGTCAACCGAAAGCATCTAATCGCTGATCCTACAGTGAAACTATACTACTGAAAACAATAATAATACTTACTATAATCGAATAAAAATACTCAACAAGAAACATAAGCCAGTGTGAATCACTACTAAACCAGGTACATCAGTCGTTCAACGCGCATCCTGTCAAAAGGGGTCAAAGAACACTATACACCGTGGCTACAGAAAGGAAGTAGTGACCGTAAAAGGAGTTCAATAATCGAACATCTCATCTCAATAAATCCCTCCTTCAAATTAATCTATCAAAGTGAGGAACAACCTGCCAAAGACAATACGTTTCCATCTTCTTTGCATTGCAGAAGCCCTAGCCATTCAGTTGGAAGAACCAGAACTATGCATACAAAAGAAAATTATTCAACCACTTCTACTATCATGGTAACAACTCCGTTGATTTGACTTAACTTTTGTTTGTATGCTTATTTTTCTAACTACTTAAAACCCTTGCGTAATTTCTATCACGTATCGCTGCTCAAAACATTACTAGATATGGTCAAGAATCTCAATCAGTGGCGAATATGCTGCAACTTCTTTCTTCTCTTTCCGAAAGTACCATGAATTAATAAATGTTGAGTGATCTCGAAAAATATGCTTTCTTGCTTTCCGGATGTTGTCCCTCATTTATCCTCTGCTTACTTCCTTTATATACTGTTGTTTTATTATTAGTGTATGGCGGACCTCTTAATGCTCATATTTTACCTACTTTGTGTCTTAAATAATTCAATGATCATGCAGTCAAAGACAACAAATACCATGTGGTCGAATCATACGTATTTTAAATTAGATCATGAATTGACATTAGTTATGGAATCATTGAAAACCAGGGGGAAATAAACACTTGTTTCGTCCTAGCCCGAGACTTTTCATCAGTATGCAACCAGGAACTTCGGATTACGAGGTGAGCAAATAAGACAGAGTCCAGTGGTTCACAAATTTTGACTTCAGACAATCTGTGATATATAACGTCACCGCCAGTCAATTTCGTCAGTGGTTACGATTGCCCACTGAAACTCCAGGCATTCCATCCCGTATTTAGTCACTAATGAGCAGTAGATTTATTTTCAAGTATTAGTCCTTAGGGATTTGTCTGATTCCAAGTTAGATCACAAGTTAACATAAACTGGTGAACTACTGAAAAGCATGAAGACCTTCGCTTGTATCCCCCGTGGTGTCATGGATGTGTACTTCCAATGGGTTCAAAACTAGGGTGAAACAGCTATCAAGTACTTTATGTTTCTCAGTGATCCTCTAAATGATGTCGGTTTGTGATGAAATCCAACCTGAAATCAATCGAATCTCCGAGATCTAAAACTTGAAAATAAATCACATTTTACCAAGACCATAGAAACATCTACAGGTGAATGTGAAATAAAACTCATGATAAACACCTTGAAAGTTGACAGACTCAAAAAATGGAACAATGATTACATTGGCCTACTAGCATGCTTGAATTTAACTTTCTATTATTTGTCTAAGTTAAATGTTCATTCATTGCACATATTTCAGGACTTTCATGGATAAATTTATGACATTCTACCTTTAAGTACCAAACGAAACAAATCGTATATAATAGGGAAAAAACGACAGATATACGCATCATACAATACCTACCGTATGGTAATATCCATTTTAATTTCGGCCAGCGGGAACATATAGGATCAAGGATAAAATTCAACTGAAGTAGATGATCCAGTCGGGAGGTAAATTTTTGATAAGTTCTTAATGCACACTGTGATATTACACTAGATAAATCAAAAATTTTACTTAGAATAATTGATGACTTATATGCAATTTTTGGTAAGACTATATATTCACCAGGAAAATTAGCATTATTATTATTACTATTGGTAGTATTACTATTATCTTGTTGTAATCCACTTGAAGTAATGATTCCTGCTTCTTCAGGTACTGCTTCATCGACTGGTACTAAAGAATTACTATTTGATGTATTTGACAAATCATATTCATATTTTTCAGATAATGTACCACATGATAATGGTATATGCACAGCAATAATTGGGCTTAATGCAATACGCCAACGAAATGACCAAGGCAGAAAACAAGCCAATGATAAACCAATTAATATATGCCATGTACTATGCGATTTTGTATACTCCTTTGGTGATTGTCCATTGAAGAACATGGAAGCGCCAATGCCTGCAAACAATACACCGGGAATGAATCCAACTATCCACCATTGAATTGGTGGGAAAAGTGCTTTTAGTTTGTAACAGATATTGATCTAGAAAAAGATAAACAAGTAAACTTGATGAATTCAATGCTTACTGCCTTACAAATATAAATACTAATGTATCTCTTAACTCAGCTGGTAGTGGACTAGACTGGTAGCTAGGAGGCCTCTGGTCCAAATCTTGGCACGATTCAGATTTTAATTTCCCCTTCAATCCATACTAATCATAAAAATATACACATAGTATTGAAGCTTTTGAAAGCATTATAAGACATCTGTTGAGTGTTACCAATAACAAGCTATAGAGTAACAGACGCCAGGAATTTATCTACCGATAATACTAAACCTAGGTGTCCTACTTGCTGTTGATGTATCTGTAAGCCGCAAACACACATTTTCACCTGATGTGGTACACAGCAGGACAAATATGACGTCATTTTGTGGTTACAAATATCATGCTGACTAGCTGTAACTCGGACGATACAATACTGAAAACTATCCAGTCTACTGAAAAAGCTAAACATTAACACTGTTGCCATCGTACGCGAAGTCTGTCAGAAAGACACTTTTATGACACTTAAGAAGTCCCCGACTAACTAACTGATCATTCAGTGAAACTGAGTTCAGAAAACCAGTTGTTACTAACTTTAGGCAAACAGGAAGACATTGACTTACATGTCAACCATAAAAACCAAGCTGACTATGTACCATAATACTGTTAGCTAACATCGGAGATACTAAGTGAGACAGAGTGCTCTTTCAACTGAATAAGTGCGTCAATAATGATCACTTGCTAGTTTGTGCGGAGAGTTTCCTGTGACTTAACAGACACAAGAAAGTGAATGAAAGATCTTCATGAGTTCACATTGATAATGATATTATCAAAATTATATTTGAAACAGAAATGTTAGAGAAAGCGAAAATAGCTTGATTCTAAACGAACAAATGGCTCATACAATCAACATGAGCAGGGAAAGCCAAACAGAGTAAGAAACCAGCGTCTACATGTTCATTAAAGAGATTGAGCTTTAAATCGAGAAGGAAGCACCAGTTATTCAGCTATTACGAAGTCCAGTGGAACGATGACCATATCAATTTAAAGAACAAAAGAAGTGAACTTTACACACTCTTCAGGTGTCTAGTATCCTATTAAAGCCTGAATGGAACATTCGCGTACAATATTCATTTCTTGAGGAAATCCAGACAGATGTAAGTAATCTTACACGGTGGAAGGGTAAGTTGGATGCACTATATCGTCGTAGCACTTAATGTGGTGGTGGGTCAAGACTATTGATTAAACTGACAGAGATTCTAGCTAAAGTATAGGAGTCAGATATAGCTCCACCTACTGATTATGTCATTCACTGAAACAATATTTGCATACGTATTATCAAAAAGTTAGTTTTAATAACTTACCCATGAAGAGAAAAGAATCACTGAACCAAGCAGTAAAGGGACTAAAAATATTCCAACTGAATAACGTACTACTTGTACCGCTACGGTTAAAGATAGCGCACCGAGAATAAATGCACAATGAGCATATCTCATAGGTAAAGCAGCTGCTGTCAATATACTAATCCATATGGAGAAAATACCACCAAAAAAATCACAAAATGATAGTGTATCCACCGGTAGAACACAAATAGGCGAAGCGAATTGTGAATAAGCAAATGCTCTTTTAATTGGTATATTCATTTTTAATCCGATATCTGTTGATTGATGCAGAATGGTACCATCAAAACCTGGAGTATGCATTACAGTATAACCTGGTATCAGATTGGAGTCGGTATCACATATATGATAGAGCTTTTGAAAAGAAGAAACACAGATTGAACAGAGGATTATATGGAAAGTTATATATATATATATATATGCATTGGTCACTTGAGAGCAATGAATGTCGCTTTTTAATTTCTAGACATCAAGGGAGCTATCGAGATCGGCTGCATAATATAGTCGAAAGGTACTATGTTGGCCGCTACATAATTAGAAACAATATGCGAAAACTATCTTATCTAAGCATCGAGTGTGTTAACACCTGTCAATAAAGGACATATGCAAAGCTAAGGCAATGATTTCCTGTTTCTAGGTCACGTGGTTCTTAAGCTAGAGGTTTTAACACTAAGTAGGCTATTAAGAATGTCATTAACTCTTTATTTGTGTAAAAGAAATCTATTAACTAACTTTGAAAGGGCAATGAATGATAATGAAACAAGATTTAATGGATTCATTCATACAGCATATGATAATATCCCTTTGATGTGAAGAGATAAGGAAAAAGAAAGTATGACAGACAGAGAGAGAGAGGGGGAGAAGAGAGTTGATTTTATCTCTGTATATGATATGATTTATGCATTGACATTATCTCATGTATACAAATCTTAGCTGCTGGCGTGAAAATGATATACTCAATCCCTTTAAAAATACCATATAGAGGGTGATTGTTAATGTACAGTGAAAAATATAATAATTAGCATACAAATCACATTAAACAACGAACATCTTCTAGCAAAGTATGAATAGTATATTTGAAAATGTTATATCTTCATAGTTAACAATTCTGGCCATCACTTTAAAACAATAATGTGACATATAATAACAAACTAATAAGGTTATTTCATGAAGTCATAAAATAAATAACAGCGACTGTAGTCAGAGTTATAATTTTGATAAGAGATAACCCCAATTTCAGTTTCATCTCAGCTGTGGATGTTTATTCATATTAAAATAATAAAATAGTCATAAACCAATGAAAACTAGTGCTCTCTGGGGAATCAGCTTCAATAATTTACTAGCTAGGTTCCAATAGCCCATGGTCACACCAAAACTAAGTGAGATCGGGAAAGAATAAAACAGACGAGGGTGATTCCACCAAATCTTCAGGCATACTTCTTGAAGTCCAACTCTCTCAGTATTGCTTTTTTTTAAAGTCGGAGTTTCAATACGTCGACCAGTAAGTATTGTAGCAATATCTGACTATGAAGGAAACTGTATTGTTCCAACCAGGAGATTCTTTTGGGAATCAGCTCACGCAGACTTGCATCAACACTAATGGACTCGTTGCTGGCGTAATCCCAGCACAGATACAAAAGGCTTTTTCCGCATTGAGATGGCTAAGATATGTACTACACATACCAACAAACCACCTTCCTCCAACAGTAAGGTTTTCTGAAGTAAAATTAGGTCAAAAACAGTCATACCGAAAAAAGACATCAGTCGGCAATACCACTGATTATTAGTGTGAACTACAGAGATAGCTATATGTTGCCTGGATGGAGAACTTAGGATACAATAAACATACAGTTAAAGTCTATTAGTGAAATGGCTGGAAATCGTCCTCATTGGCGTCGACATTTTCAAGCTTCATCACTTTCCAAAATAAGAAAATGTTCAATAATCTTCTTTTATGCGACTTTTTATTTTCATCTGTTACACTATCGTCTTACACATGCTTATCCTATCCATAAAATATGCAGAAGTATGCAAAGAATACTCTGTGAAATAAAGACAAGCTGTCTAGTGTAATATAGTTAACTAACTGACTGTATTGTCAATGTAGAACTTTGCACAAACGCGTAGCAGTTCATATTAGCCAATCTTCACATGGCACACAGAAGTAGGGAATAAAAGAAATCTTAAGAAAGAGCTACATTAAAGGGAAATATATGGAAGAAAGAACAGTCTCAAAGAGAATAGTGATAAAATAAGGGGTATAAGAATTCTCAGTGGGTAAATGCATCTACAGTATTGTCATCAACAATCTTGTGCCACTGGATCTTAGTGATTCGACCAATCACTACTCACTATGTGGCTCAAACTAGTAGACACAGACTTCATAGATTGATGGCACATTATTTTGTTTGACTAGCCCTAACTTTTCCCCAATTCTATGCTACGTTGGATGACATCGCTTGACAAAGAAGACGATGAATTGAAATGAAATATTAAAAAACTCTCTGTGATCATAATATAAATGAAACTTTTAGGCGCCTATTACAATAGGCAAAAATTTAATAAAGAGGATACGTACATATATATATATATATATATATATATATATACTTATCAAGCTGAAGTTGGTTATAAAGTAGACTGCTATTCGTGAATACATCCAAATTCAATTGACAAAGAGAGACAGAGAAAAAAAATAAAGAAAGAGGTAAGATAAAGACAAAAAAGGCATGTTTTATACAAGAATAGAAATTAAACAAGAAACAACACTGAATAACAATAAACCCCTTAAATTTCAGAGGGGAAATAACGGGAGAAATCAATAATCAAAACAAACTTCTGATACAATACACAAGACAACACACTAAAACTCAGACAGCAGAAGATATAAAATCTGAGACAAAAGAAGTTACCAGAATGGGAAAAAAAGGCTGGTTTTGACTTCCCAGTATACATAAATACACTCATAGGCTAAGCCACTTAAAATTTGCTTGCAAACAATGGAACAGATTTAAGTGGCATTGTAATCAAGAAAGCCTGCTCAATTTTATTCGTCTAAAAAAGAAAGAAAAGGTGATTGAGACAAGAATCTAAACTCCCAGTTTAAGCTAAAAATGGAATGGCCCACAATTTTTCCTCAAGGATTGATTAGTTAGCTGATGAGCGAAGAAATCTGTCAGGCAAAATTCCCATTTTTATATTCATTTATTTAGGGATTATATATATATATATATGTATGTGATAGTCGATTTGAAAATATCCTAAATTGACCTTAAAAGGATTGATCAGTATTCAGGTAACAGTTTGTTTTAGAAATAAAGCAAAAAAAAGATATCGGGAGAAACACGCATCTCTGATGCTCTTACCAATCATTGTTAAACAAAAGGATATATCTATTATAAAAAGGCCAAACAGACAGTATAAGAGTAAATTTGAGACAAGAATGCTTCTTTTGCTGAATTATCCATTGCAACTAATAAAGGGACCCGTCTGTATAAAATTTGCAAATCTAGGTCTTATATTTCGCAGCAGATAGGCTAGATGAAAGATGCAGGGTGGCTGGGTCACTTAGGTCCCATATTATAAATCAAAATTTCCTT